CCTACCGTACCTTGTTGTAGACACAATAAGTCTGGTGACACACCTAGTTGGCGGGCAGCTTTAGTTTTAGCCTCTTCTTCTGTTCGACCAATTATCCACATTTCCTCTTTACCTGGCTGAATGTTAATCACAAAGTTGTATTGGCAAATCATATACAATTTACCATAAAACATCCAAGAAAGGGTTCTCTTGCAAATGTTTCGTTTGAGCCTAAGTTGTAAAAAATCTCATATTCCAAAATGATATTTGTATTTTTTGGACCTATTGATTACAAATTTGTAAGCTTCAACCTGATTAATTTGATATAATATTAAAACAAAGCTTTTAAAAATAGTGAATACTGGCCACAGCATTTTCCTGTTACAGGATGCTGGGTAAACCATGCCAAATTTACACCGGACCCGTAAATCTTAACCCGTAGATTTTAATGTCACAGGAAACCCTAAAGACTTCTTCTAGTTCTCGCAGATCTCAACAATAACAGTGAATAGAGACAATGTAAGTCTCTATTTTCATACATGAAGTAACACACAAAATTCAAATAATTAATTAACTTTATCTCAGCAAGAAAATCACCAGTGGCCAATCACACAGTAGGAATCTATAGGATGCTATGACTGTCCTCGATATCCAGTGGTTACAACCAAATAAATTCTCTACACCCCTGGAACAGGTCATGGCAAAATCGAAGGGATGTGGCTAGCTATTTGATTAGTTTCAGGTAAAAATAAAGACCTGACCAATCGCTAGGTTGATACCTGTCCTTTCAAGATTACAGAGGATCCAGTTCAGACTTCAAAGCCAGTCAATCATGTAATAGTGTTTTATTATAGCAGAATTATTTCATGTACATCAAAGGATTAAACCAGTTTTCTTATTTCACTCACAATGTGGTGCACACTGAGCCTTCAGTTTCGTCATGATGTATTCCAAGGGTGCAGAGAGCCTTAGTGAGCATAACCCCTAAAATGTGAAGGATGGCTATGGTCTTGACATCTTGAAGTTCTGATTTGAAATGAATACCTTTCCAAGCTACTTGCCCTAAGGAACCTATAGTCTTGATAACTTTAAATACTTTTTTATATAAGGCAATTTTATATGACATTCTTTTGGATCTATATTCTTTTTCCAACTACTTACCTGGCTGTTAATGGTGACCAGGTAGGCGGGTACCCTGTGACCCCACCAGATCTGACGTGACAGGCACCAGTCTCTGTAACAAAGTTATATAAGAAAAAAAACAAAAAACTGTAGCTTAAAGTACTAAATGTGACTGTGTGGTATATGTGGTGAGTACTGTATATGTATATGTGGTGAGTACTGTATATGTATATGTGGTTAGTACTGTACATGTATATATGGTGAGTACTGTATGTGTATATGTGGTGAGTACTGTATGTGTATATGAGGTGAGTACTGTACTTGTATATGTGGTGAGTACTGTTCTTGTATATGTGGTAAGTACTTACTCACATTCGTTCAGCCAGTGGAACCAACTCCTTTCTGCAGATGATGGGATCAACTTTAGCTTTCCAGTGTTTACACTCTGTTACAGAAAGGGTCAGTTTTAATACAAGTGAATCTGTTATTATAGAAGCTATAACAAAGAACAGGCGTACACATAGGCATTGTCACACTGAGCAATGAACATAAATTACACTTAAAAGATTAGGTCGACCTCAGTAATACATATAATATTACATCTACCTTCATCACATGTTCTGTCAAATATATAAGGCCTACCTAAATCACATATTCTTTCATATATATAACACCTAACCTAATCACACGTTCTGTCATATATATTAGGCCTACCTAAATCACATGTTCTGTCATATATATAATGTATATGTATATGTGGTGAGTACTGTTCTTGTATATGTGGTAAGTACTTACTCACATTCGTTCAGCCAGTGGAACCAACTCCTTTCTGCAGATGATGGGATCAACTTTAGCTTTCCAGTGTTTACACTCTGTTACAGAAAGGGTCAGTTTTAATACAAGTGAATCTGTTATTATAGAAGCTATAACAAAGAACAGGCGTACACATAGGCATTGTCACACTGAGCAATAAACACAAATTACACTTAAAAGACTAGGTCTACCTCAGTAATACATATAATACTACATCTACCTTAATCACATGTTCTGTCAAAAATATAAGGCCTACCTAAATCACATATTCTTTCATATATATAACACCTAACCTAATCACAAGTTCTGTCATATATATTAGGCCTACCTAAATCACACGTTCTGTCATATATATAAGGCCTACCTAAATCACATGTTCTATCATATATATAAGGCCTACCTAAATCACATGTTCTGTTATATATATAAGGCCTACCTAAATCACATGTTCTGTTATATATATAAGGCCTACCTAAATCACATGTTCTGTCATATATATAATGTATATGTATATGTGGTGAGTACTGTATGTGTATATGAGGTGAGTACTGTACTTGTATATGTGGGGAGTACTGTATATGTATATGTGGTGAGTCCTGTATATGTATATGTGGTTAGTACTGTACAAGTATATATGGTGAGTACTGTATGTGTATATGTGGTGAGTACTGTTTGTGTATATGAGGTGAGTACTGTACTTGTATATGTGGTGAGAACTGTACTTGTATATGTGGTGAGTACTGGACTTTTATATGTGGTGAGTACTGTTCTTGTATATGTGGTAAGTACTTACTCACATTCGTTCAGCCAGTGGAACCAACTCCTTTCTGCAGATGATGGGATCAACTTTAGCTTTCCAGTGTTTACACTCTGTTACAGAAAGGGTCAGTTTTAATACAAGTGAATCTGTTATTATAGAAGCTATAACAAAGAACAGGCGTACACATAGGCATTGTCACACTGAGCTATAAACATAAATTACACTTAAAAGATTAGGTCTACCTCAGTAATACATATAATATTACATCTACCTTAATCACATGTTCTGTCAAATATATAAGGCCTACCTAAATCACATATTCTGTCATATATATAACACCTAACCTAATCACATGTTCTGTCATATATATTAGGCCTACCTAAATCACACGTTCTGTCATATATATTAGGCCTACCTAAATCACACGTTCTGTCATATATATAAGGCCTACCTAAATCACATGTTCTGTCATATATAT